AAACTCTAAGCATACATAAGTAAATATTTCTAAGCATAAATGACAATCAACAATCCAAATCTAACAGAAAGCAGTAGCCAGGTGCTGCTAGTGTAAGTGGGACTACCTCTTGCACTAGTTGTAGCAGTTTGCAGGTCTGCAGTATTCAGGTATTCACCTGAATGTTCTTAAGACTTCTGGAACTATGTCCCTTAGACAGATGAGACCAAAGTGGAGATGTTTGTCATTTTAACAGTGCCACATTTGGTGAAAGCCAAAAGCCCAAACCACTAAAACAATTATTATATTACAAGTAAAATTTTAAGTCCATTTTATCCATTCTCTTCCGCTTATCCTTATCAAGGTCGCAGGGGGCTGGAGCCTATTGCAGCTATCATAGGGCAAAAGGCAGGGTAGAGACCCTGGACAGGTATCCAGCTGTAGCTAGATTGTGAGTACCACAAATACAACTATGACATCTGCACCATGAATACATCAAAACAACGAAATGGAGAATGTGTAAGCAAGACTGTGGAATGTCATTATTTTGTTATTACTGAGCAAGTATCTTCATGCCATCAGTTGGAAGCAATGCTATGCTGTAGCACCCAAAAAAATCAACTTTGGTGTAATGTATAAATCTGAGTCTGATTAAACCATTCTTATCCAGAGTTTTTCTATACATACATGCTGTATTTGTTGTTGTTAAGCTTGCTATCAGATCCATTCGGCCTTGAAATACCTGTGAGTCGGGATGCTTCATGTCTGTTTCTCTTTCCATCTGAGGGTGAAGATGGTGCTGGTGATTGCTCGGTGCTGGATGTAAAGCTGTCATGTGACAGAAGTGCTGTTTTGTTCGGAATGATAGTAGTGGAGGAAGGAGATCTGGGAACAGTGGAAGCTTTGAGAGAAGAGGACGCAGGAAGACTGGTGAGAGATAATGCTTGTGTGCTCATGTGACACTGTTATTAACTTTGTTAATAACGAAGTTAATATACATTTCAGTCTTAATTTAGTTAAGTATTGCAAATGCCAGCCACATACTGGTGGGCTCAACATTAGTGCACAAAAATGGTCAAATGATTGCATTATGCTAACCTACAGTTAAAACTTTAACCTTAAAATGGGTCACCTGCACCAATGGAGGAAACCTGCAGGAAACTTAACCTACCTTCTACAACTATGAGATTAATTTCCCGATACAACACATTCAAGGTTTTCTCCACTCCACAGCGATATCTCCCTGTGTCCGCTTTCTCCAGCTTCTTTATGGCCACATTGAAGGCTCCATCTTCTCTGCCATTGTTAATGCTGTATCTCCCTTGACTTGCGACGGTGGATCGCCTCCTCTCGCTCTGAATGAGAATGCTTTCGCTGGAGCAGACTCCTTTGCAGAAATACATGCTGTTGTGTTTGGCACCGCTGTCTCTGTTCCAGCTACCGGAGCAGAGGATGGAGACCTCACCACCAACACGGCCGCTCACCTCTAGCACTTCTGAGGCCACCATACTCACAGCTGCAGTTTGACACAAAAAGGCCTGGTTACAGCTTAACACTGGCTCTAACCAGCATACAAATGTGGTGAACACAAATTATATTTCTTGCTGTACTGACTTCTTTATCTTCTCATGCATTTGGAAAAAACATTTCATTTCATTCAAATTGAAACTTGATGTCCACATGACATCATGGATCATGCCCTACTAACCTGCTCAGGGTTGATCTTTATGTTTGTTTTCTCTGAATGCTTGTCTTCTATCTTTCCATTTTCTCCTCACCCCAAATGGTTCATGCTTTTTTCCCCCTGAGTCTAACACCGGTGAGTTTCTTTCTTTCCAAGGGAACCATTCTCTTTAGCTTTACCTTATGATATAAAATGCACTGAGGAGAGTGCTGCTCTGCTATAAAAATAAGATCAACTGATATACCATAGTTAACTGTTGGTTTGAGTCAAGGAAATTATAAAATACAGTTTAATGGCATTAAAAGAAAGCACTGTAGACTTCTAATCCTTCAAACATTCTCTGCAAATTAGGAAAAAAATGCATATCCATGCAGAGAAGAAGCTAAACAAAGAAACCTTTTATTTCACAGCCAGAGTTAAGTATCCTCAAGCATTATAAAAACATTGATGAAAAGATAAACAGTTTAACTGATTTCTGCCAGACAAGCTCTCTGATATTTGTTTACTATTTTTGAAAGGGACTATTTTAACCCAAACCATGGTTCTTTCATAAACTTAACCAAAATGTGACTGAAGAAAAAATTAAAAAAAAATATAAAATACAGACTACTTCATAATTTATTATACTTGCAATTCATTGCATTGAAATAACAACATTTCCCCACTCAATTCTATTCTATCATAATATTATGTTGCCATTTCATTATAAATATGTAAGTAATAAAGTTAAAAAAGCAAAAATATTAAGAATTGTATGACTGTAACTTATAATTAATATAACACAAAAATGATCACACCAAACATCTTAACTTACTCTCTTGTTGTACATATCAATTTAAGATGATATTAATGATATTTATATCATTAATTATATTAATGATAATATAATAAGAGTAGTACATTCAACTATACTGAATAAGATCGCTTTTGATGGCTTAACATTATGATTATATTGCATGCATTGCAAACAATTGCAAAAATTAGTTTTTATCTTTTTTTAGAGTTTAATCAAGATTCAAAGTCACTGCACTGCATTACAAATAGAAACCAGTTAAAGTCTATACATCATATTAGAGCAATCTTTGATTGTATTCAGAATAGCCTCATAATTCACATAAATTTAATTAATCAGACATTCATTAAAAGTAAAATATTCTATTTATTTTTGAAATTACTGGAGATGACCTGACAATTTCAAAACTGCTCTAACAGATCAAAAAGATCCATTTTCATTTAAGAAAATGCCATGAAGATAACTCCAAAAAATGATTCACCTACACATATTGCATTTATTTCTTCACTTCAATTCATGTATAAGTACACATTAAAATAGAATATAGCTTTTACTGATTAAAACAAATGCCTCTGGATAGAACTGATCAAAACTCACCTGAGAAGCAAAAAGACACGAGGACATGAAGGGGCTTCATTTTTTTATCCGAGTAGAAAATAAGGTAAGTAAAAAAAATAAATAGCGCAGCAGAAATGTCTAGCAGTCCGCCTCAAATTAGTCATCTGATTCACTGCTCAAAGATTGAGTAAAGCTACAAAGCTGTGTTTGTACCAAGAAATGATTGCATCTTGTTTGCCTTCAGCTACTGTCATTATTAAATGGGCATGATGTTGTTTGACCGTCCCTCTTTAGCTAAAAAAAAAAGAGGGAGAAAGAAAAAGGGAACATGCCATATGGAAGCCTTCATCAGTCTTCTAAGAAGAATTAGTTCATGACTCTTTCAGGGTATGAACTCTTCACCACTGGCTCTTCCATTTGTTTTAGTACATACAGTCCATTAAGCTCAAGGGCATCAAACTCAACAAGCAGACTCTGCTGACCATGTCACGGGTATCAGAGGACAGTCTGAGGATTCTTTCATATTGCAAAGTAGCCATTCAAACCACAGCTATATAAGAAAATCATACTTATGTTCATTAAATACTCCCAATGAACTCTAACTAACTGGGATGAGAAGGGGCCAATCCAAGGCATCTTCTTGGCATTGCTATCTCTATTATTAACTAAGAAACTGAAATGCCTTGTCTTCTCAATATCTTAATATTATAACTTTATTAAGAAATTTACTTATTATATTTATGTTTTACAGACATTACCTTGAGTGAACCAGGGCTGCACGGCCCTTTTGATTTAGTCCAAATTAGTCCTGCATGCAGGGTTCATACGCCTTTTTCAGGGCCAAATTCAAGCACTTTTTAAGCACTTTCAACGTCCCTTTTCAAGCTTTTCCACTAGTAGAACTGACACACAAAACAAAACAACGACTACACTACACACTAACTACACAAGACCAGTGTTGGTCAAGTTACTTGAAAAAAGTAATCAGTAACTAATTACTGATTACTTCCCCAAAAAAGTAATCCCGTTACTTTACTGATTACTTATTTTCAAAAGTAATTAGTTACTTAGTTACTTAGTTACTTTTTAAAAACACGATTTACAACCTGAATAGGTGATAAAGCGATAGAT